GGATCTCACTCTCAAGGATCACAACAGTGCCACGATCGCAAGTGCAAAGAAAATGATAGGATGGATAATGAGAAAGTTCAAAACGAGAGATGCCAAGCCAATGATGATCCTTTTCAAATCACTTGTTCTCTCTAGGCTGGAATACTGCTGTACATTAACATCTCCATTCAAAGCAGGTGAAATTGCAGATCTAGAGAGTGTACAGAGATCCTTTACTGCACGTGTAAGTTCTGTCAAGCACCTTAACTACTGGCTACGCCTGGAAGCACTTGACTTGTACTCGTTGGAACACAGGAGGGAGAGATATATCATAATCTACACTTGGAAAATCCTGGAAGGAATGGTTCCAAATCTGCACACAGAAATCACTCCCTACGAAAGTAAAAGACTGGGCAGGTGATGCAAAATGCCGCCAATTAAAAGTAGGGGCGCCATTGGTACACTAAGGGAAAACACCATAAGTGTCCGGGGCCCAAGACTGTTCAACAGCCTCCCATCAAGCATTAGGGGAATTGCCAATAAACCCCTGGCTGCCTTCAAGAGAGAGCTGGACAAATACCTAAAGTCAGTGCCGGATCAGCCGGGCTGTGGCTCGTACGTTGGACTGCGTGCGGCCAGCAGTAACAGCCTAGTTGATCAGGCCCTGATCCACTGGGGCCTGGTGATGGACCGGGCCGCGGGAGCGTTGATCCCCGGAATAACCTCCAGGTAACCTCCAGGAGTAACTCATTAGGTTACTTCTTGCGGACAACTAGGGGTTTGTTGGTAATGTCCATTTGGCGGCGCCACTATCAACACCATACAGGCCTCCCAAATTCACTCAACTCTCCAAATAAAGATAGTAATAATAATACTGCTTTAAAATAGGTCTATCCACTCCTTCCGACCAGATGGCCACACCTAAGCCCCCATCCTCAGTACCAGAAATTCTGGCGCCGTCCCTGGCTGCTGAAAGTCTTGGTCGTCGTACATTTATCGAGTTCTTTTTGTGTACTCATTGTATGTCTGCTCGTAATTGGAGGTATTTACACCGTATGCTAAGCCTCATGTTCTCGTAGAGAGTAATGTCGGTGTGCAGATTGAGGACCAGTCTCTCCAGAACTTTACAGATGTTAATTATTATGTATCATTCTTCTTGCGTTTCAGAGAATACAGTTCAAAAGAATTCAGGCATTCCAAATAATTTAGGTATCTGACTGAATTTATATATTTCCCGTTCAGGGCAGTACAGAGATATCAAAGCGGGAACAGATAATCATATACGATCCGCATAGAACAATAAAGCATTTAAATTGCTGGAAACGTCTCAGTCTTAAATATATACTTGTGAGAGACATAAACAGGGTTTTCCAGTGGCCAGTGGAAAACAACATGACCTTCAATGGTGATAAGTTCCAGCTGCTTAGGTATGGAAAGAATGAAGAGCTCAAAAGGAGCACTATATACAAAACTCAAGAGGGTCACCAAATAGAACGTAAGGAACACGTAAAAGACCTAGGAATAATTATGTCAGCGGACCTTTCTTTTAAAGACCATAACAAGACAAAGATCACGACAGCCAGGAAGATGACTGGGTGGGTATTGAGAACTTTCAAAACAAGGTAAACAATGCCGATGGTGACACTCGACAAATCGCTAGTGCTCTCTCACTTAGAATATTGCTCAGTGCTGACGGCCCCGTTCAGGGCAGGAGAAATATCGGAGCTGGAACAAATACAGAGATCGTTTACGGCTCACATTGAGCCAGTAAAGCACCTAAACTACTGGGAACGCCTGCAAGTCTTGAACATGTACTCTTTGAAGCGGAGGAGAGAGAAGTACATGATAATATATACCTGGAAGGTACTTGAGGGCTTGGTCCCAAATCTGCACACTGCCATAACAACATACTGGAGTGAGAGATATGGGATGAAGTGTAAAATAAACCCAGTGAGGAGCAGGGATGCGGTGGGGACAATAAGGGAACACTGTATCAACATCCGGGGTCCCAGACTTTTCAACATCTTACCAGAAGATATCAGAAACACTGCTGGAACAAGTGTTGAAGCCTTCAAGAGGAAACTAGACAAGTATCTTCACCAGTTGCCAGATCAACCAGGCTGTGATGGATATGTGGGGCAGCGGGCCTCCAGCAGCAACAGCCTGGTTGACCAGGCGAGCACCAGACGAGCCGGGCTCAGAGAGTAGATATACTCTCGAAATTCTTCAAAGGTAAGGTATATCAAAGGAGCGGAGGAGAGAGAGAGAGACATGATAATGTAGGTGGAAAGTACTTGAGGGCCTAGTTCCAAATCTGCACACTGCCATAACATGCTGAGATGAGTGAGAAAGGAGGTTGTGCAAAATAAACCAATGAAAAGGCTCCTACTTCCGTAATTTACCTTCTCAGTGACTTAGTAATTTACAGTCACGCCTTCAAAAAAAATTCTGGAATAACTTTGCTTCCGTTTTGGCCTTTGATGCTGTCGTTTTTTTTTTTTTTTTTTTTTTATCTGAGAATCTCACGTTGGCGTTCCTAGCCCTTCTACTCGTCATGTTTTCTGATAACACCCCCCTCCTCTCTCTCTGAATATATGCATATAATGTGCCGAATATGTAAACTGGTCAATTAACAAGAACTCATTTAAAATTAAGTCCTTTCTGAAATTTTCTTTTATACGTTTAAAGATATATTTTTTTCATGTAAAAATTTTTAATTTTGCACCAAAAGAATCTTAGAAAACTTACCTAACCTTATTATAACAAGAGCAATTTATTTTAGCCTAACCCAACTAAATATATTTTAGATTTGTTGACAATTTAATACTAAACAAACACAGTGAATTTTTTTTTTCGTTAGGTTCAGAAATGATTTTGGTGAAATTATTACATGCACAAATTTTCACTTGTCCTATAAGCCAAGATCGCAAGTTCTGCCTATTCGGCACGACGTATATATATATATATATATATATATATATATATATATTATATATATATATATATATATTATATTATATATATATAATATATATATATATATGAATAGGTTAAAAGTTGGCATAACTTATTTAAAATGAGGTCCTTTCTAAAAATAATTTTTATATTTAAAGATATATTTTTCATTTATGTTAATGGAAAAAAATAGAAATTTTGTACCAAAAGCTCCTTAGAAAACTTACCTAGCCTTATTATAACACTTACCTAAATATATTTTAAATAAGTTTACAATAATTTAATAATAAACACAATGAAATGTTTTTTCGTTAGGCACAGAAGGATTTTTGCGAAATTATTGTATACACAAATTTTTGCTTGCCTTGTTCGGAAAAAAATAGCATTGCTATTTAAGCCAGAATCGCAAGTTTTACCTATTCGGCACGAGACACACGGACAGTCACACGGACAGTCACACGGACAGTCACACGCACAGTCACACGGACAGTCACATGCACAGTCACACGCACAAGCTGGACATGTGGTCCAGCAACTGGCTTCTCGAATTCAATCCAGCCAAATGCAAAGTCATGAAGATTGGGGAGGGGCAAAGAAGACCGCAGACAGAGTATAGGCTAGGTGGACAAAGACTACAGACCTCACTCAGGGAGAAAGACCTTGGGGTGACCATAACACCGAGCACATCACCGGAGGCACACATCAACCAAATAACCGCTGCAGCATACGGGCGCCTGGCAAACCTGAGAATAGCGTTCCGATACCTTAATAAGGAATCGTTCAAAACACTGTACACTGTGTATGTTAGGCCCATACTGGAGTATGCAGCATCAGTCTGGAACCCACACCTGGTCAAGCACGTCAAGAAGTTAGAGAAAGTACAAAGGTTTGCAAAAAAGGCTAGTCCAGAGCTCAAGGGGGAATGTCGTCGAGGAAAGGTTAAGGAAATCGGACTGACGAACTGGAGGACAGAAGGGTCAGGGGAGACATGATAACGACATACAAGATACTGCGGGGAATAGACAAGGTGGACAGAGATGGGAAATGTTCCAGAGAGGGGACACAGGGACAAGGGGTCACAACTGGAAGCTGAAGACTCAGACGAGTCAAAAAGGACGTTAGGAAGTATTTCTTCTGTCATAGATTTGTCAGCAGGGATTAGCCTAGCAAGTGAGTAGTGGAGGAGGGAACCCAAAAAAAAAGAGTTTTAAAGAGGAAAGGGAAGGATCCAAGGAGGAAGGAGGGGGCCAGGAGCGATTTACCGGACCACAGTGATACCAAATGATACACAAAACACACACACAGTCACACGCACAGTCACACCACAGTCACACGCACAGTCACACGCACAGTCACACGCACAGTCACACGCACAGTCACACAGCACATCACACACACACACACACACACACACACACACACACACACACACACACACACACACACACACACATGCCTAGGTCAAAATGGTACACACACACACACACACACACACACACACACACACACACACACACACACACACACACACACACACACACACACACACACACACACACACACACACACAAAACAAATAGAGAGAGAGAATGACTGGGATTGGAACCTGAGGTTCAGCATGAGCTAATCCTACATTTTACTGCTGAACTCTGGAGGCTGCAGTAAAATTCGATACGTTATCTCGGGTAAAGTTTGCAGGCGTCCCGGCTGTCCTGTGAACTACTGTATGTACCTTTTTTTTTTGAGACGAACTTCCACCAACACCAGTTTCTGTGGCCATATAAAGCTCTGGTGTCTTTATGCCATACATAGTATTCCTTGCATATGAGTGCGAATCTTACTGTAGCCTTCACAATCGAATGGTAAATCTTAAGGTTAGCACATACTGAGTTACAATCTCGTTCTTTTCTTGAAAAAAAAATAGTTGAACTCGTTTATTACTTTTTTCTAAAGCACATGTATACTGTACATACAGTATATTCGAGTTTTACAGGTAGGTGTGAGTTATCGATGTTATTACGTTCCTACTCAAACCCACATTAATTTCAATAATAATTTTTTTTCAGTCTCTGTCACTGGCCAAGAAGAAGATCGTTCACTACACCACCACTGACTTGCAGAAGAGAGCCAATGCTGCCTTCCTCATCGCCTCCTATTCAGTAAGTACACTATACTTACTCTTTATATTCCCTGTGAGGTTATTCAGCGATTAGTACACGATACTGCTCTATACATTATCTGTGAGATTATTAAGTGAGTACACATTACTGTTCTGTATGTTACCTGTGGGATTATTTGTTTGTACTAATGAGCAGCACTGTGCTGGTAGCGTTATTCCTTAGTATTTGGCTTGTTAAATACATGTTTATAATGTGTAGCAGTTATAGCACATAATGCCACATATATTTCAATTACCATACCTATAAGTAAAGGCATTTTCTAGTTTTCTTTCTGTATCGCTTTTTCATAATTTGAAACTGCACCTTGTTTCCTATGATTGTAAATATTCCTAATCTGTTATCTCCTTTGTCTTGCGAACTTTTCTCATTTTCCATCTTTATCAATCAAAGTTAGTAATTCCAGTAGTTTACTTCTTAAATTATATTTATCAGTTCCGAGATCTGTCTGCTCATTTCAAGTATTTGTTTTCAAAATGTCTTCTGTGTTTATCGTGGCAAGATGTGTCTGGGACAAGGGCCTGGCACGGGTCTTAGTCGTATCATGACCTGTCACTGGAACTTTTGGTATTCTTACCAAGACCTTCCATTGGTTTACTTGTCCATCTTTTGAAAAATACATAGACTACAGTATATTCATAAATCAAAATGCTTCATGAACAGAGAAAGCAGTCTAACTCAAAGTAACAGAGGTTCAAACATCTCACGTGTCACACAACAGTATACTCACCTGTGGCTTGTTTGAACCTCGCCAGAGGTTCAAACAAACTTTCTCTATTGTTTCAAACATAATTTGTTTTATATGACTTTCCAGTTCCTGATGTTAAATCATTTTTTATTATTATTGTGTGTTCTCCTTTTTAAAGAGAACTGCTTCATACTATTGTCACCTAGGTTATGCACATTTGCATATATGAATTTTTCATCCTGACTTTGCATTTATACTCCTAAAATTTATGCATTATTTATGCTCTGGGTTCTAATTTCATTAGTTTGTACAATTTTTGCCTATATTTATATTTCGCCAGAGTTTTTCCCGACTCTGTTCTCTTCCATTCTGAATAATGGATTTCACATACCATCATGTTTAATATATGTTATCTGTTTTTTTGGTTTCCATGTATCTATCATCAGCGACTTCTGTTTATATTATTTACTTCTAGCCTTTAGGAGAGATTTACTTAAAATCTACAAATTTGTACTTTCCCTAGCTGTTCTCGTTTATTTCCGCCTCCAGTTCTAGGTTTTAGTGCCCTGAATTCTCATATGCTACCTGGTTACCTGGAGGTTATTGCTAGGTGGTATCCCACACATTATGAAAGTGTTTTGTTCACCTCCCCCTCTCTGTCTTATATTCATTATATATATATATATATATATATATATATATATATATATATATATATATATATATATATATATATAATATATATATATATATTATATATGTATGTAATTATAATATAGGAAGGTACCACCTCTAGAACTTTACTGGTGACCCTCATCCTCCGAGAAGACAAACGTACCTCTGGGAAAACTCAAAGTTCTCCCCGGAGCTGTTTGAATATTTTCTTCTCTTACCATCCCCTATAATTTATATTATATATGTACTTTATTAATAGACAGAACACATTGATAGAAAACACAAACATGAGTACATTGGTACAACATGTCAAAGGTTATGAATCGCCTCCAGCTCCTCTGAAGCCAGACGCGAGCCCAGTATGCAGCATGCATTTTCCCTCTGGATGGCCATGCTGAGGTCTAAAAAATAAATTTTAATATATATATATATTATATATATATATATATATTATAATTTTGTGGTGTGTGTGTATAATAGTTCAGGGGAGAACCTTGAGTTTTTGCTGAGGCACATTTATTGTCTTCTCTGAGGATGAGGGTTCCCAGTCCAGTTATAGAGGTGGTACCTCCCTGTATTTTTAAATATATATATATATATTATATATATATTATATATATATATATATATATATATATATATATATATATAAACAAGTCGGCCGTCTCCCACCGAGGCAGGGTGACCCAAAAAGAAAGAAAATACACAAAAAGAAAATACTTTCATCATTCAACACTTTCATCTCACACATAATCACTGTTTTTGCAGAAGTGCTCAGAATACACAGTTTAGAAGCATATACGTATAAAGATACACAACATATCCCTGCAAACTGCCAATATCCCAAACCGCTCCTTTAAAGTACAGGCATTGTACTTCCCATTTCTAGGACTCAAGTCCGGCTATATAAAAACCGGTTTCCCTGAATCCCTTCACTAAATATTACCCTGCTCACACTCCAACAGCTCGTCAGGTCCCAAATACCAATCGTCTCTATTCACTCCTATCGAACACGCTCACGCACGCTTGCTGGAAGTCCAAGCCTCTCGCCCACTAAACCTCCTTTACCCCTTCCTTCCAACCTTTTCGAGGACGATTCCTACCCCGCCTTCCTTACCCTACAGATTTATACGCTCTTCATGTCATTCTACTTTGATCCATTCTCTCTAAATGACCAAACCACCTCAACCCCTCTTCAGCCCTCTGACTAAATACTTTTATTAAGTCCACGCCTTCTCCTAATTTCCACACACCGAATTTTCTGCATAATATTTACACCACACATTGCCCTTAGGGCATCTCCACTGCCTCCAACCGCCTCCTCGCTGCTGCATTTACAACCCAAGCTTCACACCCATATAAGAGTGTTGGTACTACTATACTTTCATACATTCCCTTCTTTGCCTCCATAGATAACGTTTTTTGTCTCCACATATACCTCAATGCAACACTCACCTTTTTTCCTTCATCAATTCTATGATTAACTTCATCCTTCATAAATCCATCCGCCGACACGTCAACTCCCAAATATCTGAAAACATTCATTTCTTCCTTACTCCTCCTCCCCAATTTGATATCCAATTTTTCTTTATCTAAATCATTTGATACCCACATCACCTTACTCTTTTCTATGTTCACTTTCAACTTTCTACCTTTACACACACTCCCAAATTCGTCCACTAACCTTTGCAACTTTTCTTTAGAATCTCCCATAAGCACAGTATCATCAGCAAAAGGTAACTGTGTCAATTCCCATTTTGTATTTGATTCCCCATAATTTAATCCCACCCCTCTCCCCAACACCCTAGCATTTACTTCTTTTACAACCCCATCTATAAATATATTAAACAGCCATGGTGACATTACACATCCCTGTCTAAGACCTACTTTTACCGGGAAGTAGTCTCCCTCTCGTCTACACACCCTAACCTTAGCCTCACTATCCTCATAAAAACAGCATTTAGTAACTTACCACCTATTCCACATACTTGCAACATCTGCCACATTGCTTCCTTATCCACTCTATTATATGCCTTTTCTAAATCCATAAATGCAATAAAAACTTCCTTACCTTTATCTAAATACTGTTCACATATATGCTTCAATGTAAACACTTGATCTACACATCCCCTACCCACTCTAAAACCTCCTTGCTCATCCGCAATCCTACATTCTGTCTTACCTCTAATTCTTTCAATAATAACCCTACCGTACAGTTTTCCTGGTATATGCTAGGTGGTATCCCACACATTATGAAAGTGTTTTGTCCCCCTCCCCCTCTCTCATATTCATATATATATATATATATATATATATATATATATATATATATATATATATATATATATATATATATATATATATTGGAATATTCAAACGGCTTCAAGAAAAATCCAAATATTTTCCTTGAAGCTTTTATCACTTCCGAGGCTATGGTCCACAATTTACACAAGGTGGACCCCAATATATATATTATATATATATATATATATATATATATATAATATATATATATATATATATATATATATATATATATATATATATATATATATATTGATTCTTGTTGATTTTTGTGGTTTAACTTTCAGTGAATCTTGCCTAATAGCTATGAACTTAGTCTTCGTGTTAATTATAGTCCTTGACTTTCTTTAAACACTTGTGTTTACTTAGCATGTGCGAGTGTAAAACAGGATTATTGCCCTCGCACTTTCATGTTTGCCTTTCCTGCTGCGAATGGCTAAGTGCTTGTTCTGCTAGACTCAAGTCATCTGTATTCTTTATGATTATTTTCCTTACCTGTTCTTTTTTATCATTTGCATTATTGATCTCTCTTCCATTATTGCTGAAAATGAAAACTTTATCTAAAGTATTTAGTATGGTGAGCTTATTTGTAATTACCTTAATTATATCAATCCTTGTATTTGCCTTAGTGATAATTTCTTTATTTTACTTGTTTCTAACATTTTTTATACTTTGTTTTTATGAGTCAGCAGGCTCACCACAGGTCATGTGGGTACTTTTTTTATTGCATGTAGCTGTGGTTGTTAGCTAGTCGTCTGTCTGCTGGCACTACCACTTTCAGTACTCTCAACTAATCGCAGATTCCTAGTTACTTGGACTCTATCTTACAGAAACCAAACTCCAAGAATGGTCTTATCAGTAGTTGCATGAACTTTTAAAATTTTGAAACTATTGGATGACGCATTCTCAGGTTGTTTATAAACGAAAGCATTTACAGTAAAAAAAAAAATCTTAATTGCAGCCAGACAAACCTGGCTCAAGGCTGAGCTGCCAGGGAAGGAAAACTCTCGAAACTCATCAACGGTATACTTAAAGGTACCGTACAATTCAGGAATACCTAACAGCTCTATATATACTATGTACACAGGATAAAGAAGAAAATAAAAAGTGATTGCAAAAAAAATTGTAGAAGCAAAAAAAAAAAGTTCAGTTAAGTATGTATGTATGTTAAGAATGGAAATAAATCTCAACTTTCTACCTGCAAATATAATAAATATTGCTAAAACATTGTTAGAAATCTTCAAGAGGAACTGGGCTATTTTCTGTAGGAAGTGCCAGATCAGCCACACTGTGGTGTTTGTAGGCTTCGGGCAGT